CTCGGCGGTCGAGACGTGTATGAGGAACATCCTCGTCAAGATGGGGCTAATTTAAGCCAGGTTCGCCGACTTAAGCCGGGTTGGACGCGCAGCAGGGACTGCTACGACTGGGTAAATGATAGATATCTTCAGAATTTGGTCAACTCTCGCAATCAACCCATTGAGATTATGGACTTGCCGGAAGATGATAGCGGAAGCTTCGTAGTGGGTTCGGATGCGGTCGAGTCCGATTACGATGAGAGAGATGAAGTCGAGAATACGGCTCGTGCGTTGGACGATCTCTCACTTGAGAATGAAGACGTGGACAAGAATGCCTTGGCTTCACGAAAACAGAATATAAGGGCAGCTGGGGTCGCACGGGAGAAGGAACTGTTCGAAGGGCACTGACTGTGATGTCAGACGCTGTAGGATGAGGTTTATGCGTGTGCTACTACATGGTTTACCAGGTATATATTACAGTGGCACTAAGGTCGAGTTAACGTTAGGCGTTCGGTGCGCCCTTGCGAAAGTGAGCGCTTGAGCGACTTAACTGGCCAGGACCTCGGCTAGTCTTAAAAAGCGGGTTCCCTTTTTAGATTCGGTCCGAGACTACTTACAGGAGAGAAAGGGTTGGAACTTGGAAGTAAACGTTGACGTTGAGACGCCTCCTTCAACTAATCAGAACTATAAGCGCTTGTTTGGTCCTATTTGCACGGATCAGAATAAGGAGCTTGCCGATCGTTGTGCCCTCGTTTCGGATGTAGGCTGCTTGCTCTTCAGCCTTGCTCTTACCCGTCGTTGGATCCATGTTTAATCAACTTCCAGTGGAACTCTTCCTCCATATCCTCAGCCACTTGCCCCTCCAAGACTTGAGGAATCTCAAACTTGTCTCGCGTTCCCTTCACACTTTCATCGTTGCCAATGAGGTGACGGTATACCACCACGCGGCCTTGCTTCACGATTATGTGCCTTCTGAAGTTGAATTGAAAGATTTAACATTCGCCAGTCCGGATTATCCGTATCGCGATGTGACTAGCTGGGAATCATTTTGTGGGTATTTAAATCTCTCTTTCTATTCTATAAGCCCTTCGTGGCCTATTCGTGGCCTTTAACTTGATCCGAGATCGTTCACCCATATACACTAAAGGAAACCTTAGCCTGAAGACTTCCCTTCATGATACATAGGGGCTCTTATCAATCCTGCATATCGGCCTGTCAAGCTATATGATGCTTTGACATGTGTGTATCGTGGTTGCCGTCTTTCATGCGCCTGTTGTTGAAGAGACGTGCGGGGGAGGCAATTATGCTGACCTTGAGATACTTCCCTTTGTGATTTTAATGCACGACTAAACCGTGACCATTCCGCTCTATGCAACTTACTTATTTCCATTGACAGGCCGATCCTGTTACCAGCTAGACAAGAATTGGACAGCCCGGGGAACAGCGATGACTAACTTGTACTGCCTTGCCCATCGCGATGTGCATCGAATCAAGGTCGATGAGATACTTGGACTGCTCATTACTACCCACACTAAAGGCGGAATTCGAGTGACTGACGTAAAAACTGGCAAACTGCTGTGGAGGCTTTCTCTGGTGAGTTTTTCCAGTTGTTATCGCACCAGCGACGCTGATTTTACCTACCAGAATTACGTCCGCCCCTATGCCCACCTCGAATATGAGCGTGGGTTCATGATTTTTGATCGCATGACCAACGAGAAAGAAGTGTGGCGGCTCTCAACGAATTGCGACTTGGCCCAGATGACACCTGCATCACCTCCGGACGCGCAGCAGATGGAGGAGTACCAAAAGTCAATCCGGAGGTTCCCTGATATTACGCGCGGTCACTTCCGGCCCTGGGCCCTATTCGGGATTCCGGAGCCCACCACTGCTTACCGGTTTGTATACCCTACACTTGTGACGATGTCGCGTTCTACCGCTTATCTCTGTGATGTCCCAACGGGCCAATTTATACGAGAGATACAGGGTATACAGGATGGAGACGTTCCCTTGGGGCGAATTGCGTACGTTGAGTTGAGTGCGCAGTATGTGTTCGTGTGTGGTATGAGGCAGTTTCGCGTGTTCAGTCGCGCGAATGGGGCGCAGGTCTTGTGGATCTCCAATAATCAGCCAACCTTCGCGCACACGAGGATCCAGCTAGAGGCTGATCAAGATGCCAGAGCAAAGGAGTTTGACCAGGTCGTCAGTGCCTTGCATGCTCGTCTATTCTCGACCCCCAAGGTCAATCCCCCGCCACTGAATTTCGTTGCAGGTGAGTCAGGCATATCTATGTGTGTTGCGGCTGCTCATCTCAAGTTCTGAATAGTTCATGTCTCAAGATCGGGGCGAGATCTTGTGATATTGATGGACGACAACAGGTTGCTTCTTGTGCAGGATTTTGAGCGTATCATCAAAGATGAGGTCGAATTGACCGATGTGGCTCTCGAAGTCCACTTGCCCAATCAGCTGAAGCGTGGCTCCAGTGTCTATCTTGCTTATGAGCATGGTCGCGTGAGCGTGGTCACGGTATGTGTCTCGTTCTGGATTTAGCATTGGTATTGATTTACCGCCAGGCAAGTGGCGTATACATCCTCACTTTGGACGTAGCTCGGCACGGCCTGTTTGATCCCTCTCGGTTCGCGGACGACACCTACGTCGCCCCAGGCATGATTGAGAATATACCCTCCTTGCCACCGGACATCCCGTTCCCTTATCTTTCTGCCGTCTTTGTGCCCCGCCTGCGGCATGGATATGCGCTCTACCAAGTGAGCTGTTTGCAAATGACGGCAACGAAGGTCTTCTTGACTTGGGATAGTCGATTGGTCCCGCGCCCACGGATACTCAATGGACGCGGACAGCCTGATAGGCTTAGAGAGCAGGATGTGGAATACATGGACGGCTTTCTCCTCTCTTTCGGTAAGATCATACATTAGACTTTTAATGACTTTTCACTGAGGTGACTGCAAACCATTTTGTACTGTATGCAGGAATACCTTTGGGCGAGGATCTAGAAGCGGATGAAGAGCTTGATGAAGACGAAAATGCTTTCATCTGGGAGGAGGACTTGGACACAGGTTCGTACTTCTCATACTAAGCCCATCGCTCAGATACTCAAGACATTCCGTGGAAAGAGTGTCAAAATATCGTCTATTGTATTGATTTTGGCGGCACGTTGGAGGGAGGTGGAAATGTTTAGTTCCACGCCAATCGGGAGACACGTTCAAGTTGGGTTTGATGTATTTTACTGAAGCAAATATCAATAGCTAAATCGACGACGTGATGTACAAGACGCAGGGATACGAGCCTGGCCGTACATGTAGGTCTCACGATCGAAACATACTGAATCCAAAGGGCCAGGACTCAGGCAGCCGTTGGTGGTCGTAGTTAGCATTGTCGAAGTGTGCGATCCTCACGTCGCCACCCCTTGTGGTACCAATATTTGCATTAACATGTGTATAACATCTACGCTCATTTCACATGTGCGACGAAGCCTTCGCACGGCACCGCATGGCCACTTTCCCAATCTGATTCTATCGCGGAGTTGTCTGATACCCAATTTAGAGGGTCCTTGATCGAATTCTTGCAGCCCAGGCGAGTCCACTGTGCCATCATTAGCGTCCTTATCCGCTCTCAGGCCCACAGCCTCTATCTCGATGCCCAGCGCCAGTCCGCCACCTGCGGTCAATGACACCGCACTTTAGCTGATGCGGGCCTCGGCTTTCACATCGACGCGCACGTCTCGCGGCCCTGAACGTCGGCCTATATAACAATCACTATCCCTCCACGTCGACTCAAGGAGTTCAGTTCGAGCCCAGCATGGCAGCTTGGATTGCAGACCGACAGAGAGCCTTTCGTGATCTGGGCGGAGGCGCGATGGCGGACGTCGAGGCACAGGTAGTGCTGGAACCTATAGTTGCCAGTAGCAGTAGTTGGATCATGCTGACGGTGCAGCAGCTGGGTGCAACCAGGTGCGTGGTGTACTTTACACACTGGCTTTATGCGAAGGAAGCTAATTGCATGTATTGCATTTGTAGCTATTTCCTCAGTACCCTCGCCATCCCTAGCTATGTCGCGCTCGCATCTGTACTCGCGCTGCTCCTTCAGTTTACGTTTCGCAAGCTGCATACAAAATTCAATGCCGCAAAAATTGGCACGGAGACTGGTGACGATGGAGCAGTGGCAGAAGCATCGGAAGCAACGCCCACAGGCGCACAGCCAATCGACACAACTATCCGCATCTTCAACGTCGTGCGGCTCGCGGCGTGCCTTGCGCTGGTCGGCATGTCCATCTTCTCTACATATGTCGCCGGGTGGGGGGACGCCGCAGAATTACGTCCCGCGGGCGTGCCAGAAAGTGTCTGGTTGCATCTCGCACTTTGCATAACATATGTATGTGCTGCTCATGACGGATCTTGCGCTCTCTCTCTCACATCCCAGCCAGACTTATAGCTCGCTCCTTGCGCTGCACTCTGTCCTTGCCGCGCCATCGGTGATAGGCACGACGACGCGTCATCTTGCGATCGTCCTCGTGTCTACATGGCTGGTCTACGTCTACCGTGACGGCTGGCCACTCGCAACAGTCCCCCTCACACCTCTGGACGCGGTCGAGGGCATGCTACTCTGGGCAAAGTTCGCGGTGCTGACACTTGCTGCAGTGCTTGTCCCTTTGTTCGTTCCTCGGCGATACGTCCCGCACGATCCCAAGGTGTGTTCTTCGATTCCCGATGTCTCTGGTGTCGTCATTCTAAATCTCTTGCCTCTTTCTGCCTCTCTGATGCCTTGATTGCGATGTCCACCTTAGAACCCCTCCCTGACACCAGCTCCGGAGCAGACTGCGTCAATCGTGTCACTCTCGATGTATCTCTTCCTCGACAAGACGGTGCTGGAGGCATACCAGATGGAGCATTTTCCATTCGAGCGACTCCCGCCACTGGGCGACTACGACAGTGCGTCGAACCTGGTCAAGCGCAGCTCCCCTGTACGTGATCTGGTCCTCGACTTCTGCGGTAGGAAGTTGATGGGACTCTCTAGGAGCTCGACCCGTTCCAGTCCACCAAGAAAAGCAGACATTTGTTCTGGGGGCTGCTCCGAGTCTTTCGTGAGTATCCGAGGCAGGCTTTGAACATCAGAGTTTGAATCTCTTATTCATCGCAGGCTTCGATGTAATCGTCATGTCCATCATGCTGATCTTTGTTGTATGTCTTCCACATTCTTGAGTGGCCGTGCTGTCTTGACCGCCTTGCCCGCAGACTTTCGCGCGCTTTGCCAGCCCGTTGGGCATTCGAAACCTTCTCTTGTGCGCTGCGTTTCTCAATGATACCCCGCTTATGTCTTTCGCGCTATCTGCTGCTGATGTGCTCAATCCTAATGTTCGTTAGGTACCTCGAGACTGACGGTACGGAAGCGTTTGTGCGCCCCTGGCTATGGATCTCCTGGCTTTTCTTCGGTCCTGTGCTCGGCACGATTTTTGACTCGTGGTTCACATACATCTGGGTGCGTACCTTCATCCGCTGTGGCATCCTTCCCTCATTCTGACCTCTGCCTCCACTCCCAGACGCGCACGCTTGTCCGTATGGAGGCGATCCTCACGCAGCTTGTATTCGATCATGCGCTGCGAATGCGCGTCAAGGCCGACGGCGCTGCTGAGTCCGAGGCGCAAGATAAAGAGCAGGCCCAAACGGCCCCCACGCCTGAAACCGCGTCGGACTCGAGCCCAGGGAGTTCTCAGCAGGGTGATTCTGCGTCCGCGAGCACGTTCGCTGCGGATGTAGATGCGGGTTCCGCGCAGGGAAAGCAGAAGGCGAAGGCTGTGGTACCCATACAGGAGGTTCCTGCAAAAGCGAAGAGGGGCGATGGGGATGGGAAGGATAAGAAGAGGGATAAGGACAAGGGTAAGAATGCGATCGGGAAGGTCAACAACCTTGTCACGACGGATCTTGGCGCGCTGATGATGGGACAGGGCGCATTCTACTTTGGTATGCGATCTTGTTTTCGTTGTGATTGTCGCTCACGTCCACGTCCATCTCTTCTACTGTTGATGCCACGGCGCAGCGGTGCAAATGCCCCTGCAGATTGTGCTCTGTGTGTGGTTCTTGTACGATATTCTTGGCGTGAGGTGCGCGGTGATCTATTCCTCTCTGTTCCTTATTGTTGATGCAGTGGACGCGCGCAGTGCTTTTGCTGGGCTCGTCGTTATCATTGCCACATTGCCTCTTCCTGGAGCTGTCTCGAAGAAACTTCGCGGTGTTCAAGCGGAGAAGATGAAGAAGGTGAGAGGGTTATGCGAGTTACCGCGCACAGCTACATACTGAGACGGACCGTTCTAGACAGATGAGCGTGTGCAAAGCGTCACCGAATGTGAGCTCTCCGAATGCGATGCGAGTTGACTCGTGCTGAGATTTCGCAGCCCTTGCTGTGATCCGCATGATCAAGCTGTTCGGCTGGGAGCCGCGGCTCACGCAGCAGCTCACGGACAAGCGAGAAACAGAGCTGCAGTGGGTTTTGCGCACGAAGTTGTGGAGTATCCTAATTACCAATCTGAAGTGCGTGTGTCGAACGCGGTCGACTTTCAAGCGCTTACTTGGTTGCAATAAATAGCCATGTCATCCCTCTCATGACGATGATGGTCACATTTATAAGCTACGTGAGTGGCTGCATCTTGTAGCACTTTTGTATGGCTCAGCTGGCGTCCTAGACAACGATATTCAAGAACGAGCTTTCAGGTGCGCATTCGTGTTCTGCCGCGCGTGACCACACATGACGCTAAAGTACGTCCTGCAGCATCCACCGTGTTCTCGTCAATGGCTGGTGGGTTCCACATAATATGTCTCTGTCTCTGTACTGATTTCCTAGCCAGTATTCGAGATGTTCAGCATGCAGTTACACATGATTTTTGGCTTCTTGCCTGGCATTATGCGCGGTAAGTTTATCTGTATGTGTTGTATGCTGCCGCTGGATGGCTTTTGTTCAAGTGCGCGTCGCTCTGGACCGTATAAACGATTTCATGCAAAAGGTCAGTACCTACACGTACCCTATCGTAGCACAAGGTTTACGCGTCCCTACATAGACCGAGCTACTCGACGACTTCACTGAACAGCCTGCTGTAAGGGCTGAGCTTGCATTGCCTGTGCCCGAGACACACGTCAACACTATAGGTTTCCGGAATGCCTCATTCACGTGGGCAAACGACCAGAACGGCAGCAACCCGTCGACCCCGGGCGCATCACGGAGGAACTTTACTCTCCGGATCGAGGACGTACTTTACTTCGAGCGCGGCGGTATCAACCTCATAGTTGGTCCCACCGGCTCTGGCAAGACGTCGTTGTTGATGGCATTACTAGGTGCGCAGTCCCCCGCGCTCGTGTGACCCGGTGTTGAAGCGATGTTTGTGGCGAGCAGGAGAGATGCACCACATCCCGACAGGCCCAGATTCCTTCTACAATCTTCCGCGGGGGGGCGGGATTGCATATGCTGCGCAGGAGTCGTGGGTGCAGAATGAGACGATCAGAGTGAGTTGTGTGTAGATTTGATTTCAGTTTGCGCTGAGGCTCATGCTTTCAGGACAACATCCTCTTTGGCGCTCCGTATGACGAAGAGCGATACGACAAAGGTGAATTTTTATGAGTGGGTTCTAAGTGACTACTTTTCCGACATGTTTCAGTGATCGCACAGTGTGGCTTGAAGCGCGATCTCGAATTATTTGATGCCGGGGATCAAACTGAGGTTGGAGAGAAGGGCATTACCTTGAGGTACGCCTCTGTAGAAATGCTCTTGTGCGTAACTAATTCTTGCCTATCAGTGGCGGTCAGAAGGTATGAACGTGCTATGAGATGTGTCTTCGACACTAACTGATTTTCACGTTCAGGCCCGAATAACTCTCGCGCGTGCTGTCTATTCCTCTGCAGAGATCCTCCTACTTGATGATGTAAGTATTAGCTGCACATTGTCTGGTCCTGTCTGTCTCACTTCATGCGACACAACCAGGTGTTGGCCGCACTCGATGTTCATACTGCGAAGTTGATCATCGACAAGTGCTTCAAGGGAGACCTCATTCGGGGCCGAACCGTTCTCTTAGTTGTGAGTACTTCTGCTCAGAAAATAAGCCAGCTTCGTTCATTCGATACGTCCAGACGCACAATGTCACCATGGCCAGCCCTATTTCGCACTTTGTTGTGTCACTCGCCGCGGGCCGAATCTCCAGCCAGGGCTCGCTGTCCAGCGCTCTTGAACATAACCAGAAGCTTGCTGCGGAGGTTGCAGATGAGCGCGAAGCTCTTGAGAAGGCTGAGATGGATATCCAGGAGGACGAACAAGACACGGAGACGAAGAAAGCCGCAGGAAAGCTTGTTGTGGCGGAGGAGATTGCTGTGGGACACGTAGGATGGCCGGCGAGTGGGTGAATTCGCTCGTTCCAAATTTTATCATGTTGACGGCATCGCAGTGAAACTCTACCTTGCAAGCTGGGGAGGAGAGCATCGTATACTGTTCTGGACTGCCTTCATGAGCATTTGCACCATTACTGAGTTCACCGAAAACGCTCAGGTATGGTACCTTGGGTACTGGGCGAAACAGTACGAGCAGCACGATGCTTCGCAAGTTAACACTGCTTTGTGAATTTTCACCTTTACTGTGGCGGAAAGCATGCTTACAAGGCCATTCTCCAGATACATTGGATTTTACGCAATCATTATTCTGCTCTCTGCGTTTACCTATGCCGCATTTGCTCTTATCCATACCGCTGGAACGCAGCGAGCATCGAGAAAAATCCACAAGGAGTTGATTACTTCTGTGCTGGGAACGACGCTGAGGTAACATCTTCGATGAAATAGACTGTGCTGGTCTCTAAAATGTTATAGATGGCTTGACAAGACTCCCGCCTCGCGTATACTAACAAGGTGTACACAAGACATTGATTCAAGTACGCAGTATGCTCGATGTTTGATAGTACTTGCATCGCTGATGTAGCCCCATGGTCTAGTTGATACGACCGTCGGGAGATTCACAGGTATACTCATAAACATGGTGACAGCCATGTTGCTCAAGCTGGGCGCTGTCGTTGCTATGTCCCCGATCTTCACAATTCCTGGGGCCTTCCTCGCTACGGCGGGAGCATGGATTGGTCAGGTATACATGAAGGCTCAATTATCTGTGAAGCGTGAGAGGAGCAATGCTCGCGCTCCAGTTCTGGGCCTTTTCGGCGCTGCCTTTACAGGTCTAGGTGCGTGGTACTGTCGAGGGGACTCAACCCGGCCTGGTTTCACCATCCTGTAGTCTCTATTAGAGCCTACGGTGCCCAGGACTCGTTCAGGACTGAGTCTTTCAAGCGTATCGACAAATATACCAGAGCCTCGAGGACATTTTATAATCTGAATCGGTATGTGTCGTTCAATTTTGATGGCTTGTTTGGCTAAGGATTACAGATGGATATCAATACGCATCGACTTGCTTGGTGCAATGTTCTCATCGAGTCTGGCGGCATATCTCGTCTATGGAGGCACCTCCGCGTCGGACACAGGTTTCACGTTGAACATGGCAGGTCCGTAAACGTCGCATGCCGGGATAAAGCGATTGCTGATGATCACGTAGTCGGGTTTAGCAATTTGATTCTCTACGTCGTCAGAGTCTATAATATGCTTGAGGTTGCTGGTCAGTAAATGTTTGCATCACTTGCATCGGTACTAACGGCCCTGCATATTTAGGCAATAGGTATGGCTGATCTGAACTATTCCTGCTATATCTCACGCTGGGTACAGTATTGAACGCGTAAAGCAATACATGGAAATTGAGCAGGAGCCCAAGCCGACTGAGAGCGGCATCCCTCCAGCTTATTGGCCGGCCAGCGGTCACCTAAAAGTTGAGAAATTGTCGGCACGCTACTCTCCTGTAAGACGACCCGCAGCTGCAATGTGCACCAGCTCATAGAGTTGTCAGGATGGCCCACGAATTTTGGAAGACATCTCCTTCGAGATCAAGTCCGGAGAGCGTGTCGGAATCGGTGAGTAACAAACGTATAGTATGTTACGCTATGCTCACGTCAGTACCCAGTGGGACGTACGGGTAGCGGAAAGGTACGTTTCGTATCATCGACTGCGACCTGTCACTGACCTGAACTTCAGAGTTCTCTGACATTGGCCCTCCTGCGATGCATCCTCACAGAGGGCAAAGTGTATTACGACGGCATCCCGACGGATAGTATCAATCTAGACGCGCTCAGGTCGCATGTAACCATCATTCCCCAAGTGGTGCGCAGATCGCAGCTCTCCCATCGTACCGGCTACTGACGTCTTCCAGCCCGAGCTGCTAAGTGGCACCTTACGCCAGAATCTGGATCCATTCGAGCAATATGATGATGTTGTACTGAACGACGCCCTTCGTTCAGCTGGCTTGTTTGCACTCCAGACAGACGTTGACGAAGATAGAATCACTCTTGATACACACATCTCCAGTGGTGGCAGCAACTTGTCGGTAGGACAGAGACAGATCCTGGCGCTTGCGAGAGCGATCGTGCGTCAGAGCAAGCTGCTCATTCTGGACGAAGGTATGTTATGGCCTACTATCCAGCGAACATAGACTGACCGATAGCTTCTCAGCAACATCCGCGATTGGTGAGAGAGACTTGGCCGAGATTTGTCTGGGATATCATTGACAAAGTGTCTGCAGATTATGCAACGGATACCGTTATTCAAGAGTCGCTGCGGAAAGAGCTAGACAAGGGTGTCACGGTTCTAACCATTGCGCATCGTCTACAGACGATCATGGATGCCGATCAGATTGTGAGTCGAACTATTCTCGCGTTTGATACGTGCGCAACTAAGCACCTGATTATCCACAGATGGTGCTCGATGCAGGCCGCATTGTAAGCACTATGTATGATTTATGGAACAGCATATACTGATACGTGGTCAGGTTGAGTTTGGAAAACCTGATATACTGTTGAAGGACGAGAAGAGTCTGCTTCGTGCTCTTGTGGACGAAAGCGGCGATAAGGAAAAGTTGTATGCCATGGCTGCTGGCTCTAGTGGCTCTACTGAAGATGATTCGACGTGATCTGCCGATGATGTGAACCGCATATTGTTTTCATTTCCCCTTTGTTAATAACGAGCCTTTGTGTTATATCTAGTAGCTAGTGCTAACTGACTGTAGTTGAGTTAAGTTGATTGCACATATCTAATCTTGATGCATGATGAAGAGGCAAAGAGGAGCATTGAAATTTAATACATGCACATCAGGAAATTACATTGCTTTTCAGCTTTGGAAGTGCTTTTGGTGCTTTGATTTTTTTTTCACACCTTGAACTGAATTCTATCGGTCATATGCATAATAGCTTTGTTTATTTTTATGCTTTTTGTACAAAAGGTCCAAAAGCATGGAAAACCTGGAAGAAGTATTTTCCTGATGCATGCCTACATGAGAATTCAGCTCCTTTGACTCACTAGGAAAGGTGTACCCATGACTTCCTGCTTTGGGTGATACTCAGTGAAAGCTGGTGCAAGATTCAGTGTCTATCTCCAGTAGTGCTGGACATATATTAGTACCTGGGATTGCTGGCTCATCTGATGTTACCCTATGGGCCTCCATATCTAGTTCTATTTGATAAGCAAACCCATTATACAGCCCTGAATGACTTGGCTGGGTTCATCATGTATTATCTAGTCATCATATAATTTGAATAAGGACTTGATGAACCCTCGCGTGGTCACGACCGCTGGCTCTCTTATTAGAGATGCCGCTGTTCTTGTACGCTCTATGGTATCTAAATCTATGACCGGCACTGCCGGTTCGAAGTTGCCCAAACGCAGCTACCTCCCACGGATACACTGAATATACAGTAGCGCATAAGACGCTCGGTCGTGGTCTAATGACACAGAAGCCCACACGCCAGAAAACACGCTAGAGATTTTCAGCCGTCAAACATGCTCCCATCCATACGTACACCCATGGTCTGCTTGACATCCATCCCCAGTAACTTCATTCTCCCGGCCTTTCATGAAAGTCAGACATCAGACCAAGTTACACCCAATCAGAAGGCGTAGCAACATACCTCGATCCGCTCATTCTGCACTCGGCGCAACTCTTGCAGCTGCTCCTTGCTCATGAATGTATCCCGCTCAACGGCGCGGCGCTTGTGAGTGCTTTCCAATGCACGGAGATCCGCATTCGGGTCGTAGGAGTCGTCAGGTGGAGGGACATACTCTCCTGCCCGCAGCGCCGACATTCGGCGTTCGTATGCTTCCATATGATAGAACTTCTCATGTGGGAGTGTCGCTGGGAGAACATGTGAGCAGTTGTTTAGGTGCGCAATGGATGAAGTGGTGCGCACCAGTGTTGTAATCCTCAACGAAGCGCGCAAATTCCTTCTTTGTCTGGTCCTTTGAGACTGTTTCTGGGTTGATTTTGCGTTCTTCAACAAGCCATGCGCGAAACTCCTGCTCCTTGGTGTATAAACTACATTTGGGAAGCGCAAATATTAGTAAGGATGGTAGAAATAAGGAACAGACTAAGCGGGATGCACTCACTCGGTTTCACTGATAATGCCGTATTTTCCCCACTGATGGCTCACTGCGCCACTCTTTTTCTTCTATATCCCATAACATTTGACTAAGCTCCATACTATCATAAACCACCACACCCACCTTTTTCTCTTTCTTTTCCCGTTTCTTCTCCTTGTGTCGCGACTTCTTTTCTTTCTTTCGGCGGTGTCGCCTATCGTCGGTCGAATCGGATGAGCTACTCCGGGAAGTTTGCGACCTCGACCTTGACCTCTTCCCATCGTCCCTATGCCTTCGTCCATGGCGGTCCGCATCTCGGCGCGGCGAGCCAGACCGCGACCGCGACCGCGACCGCGAATGGCGCCTCCGATCCGACTTCGCTCTCCTCTCTTCACCCATGTCCTCTCTCCTCCTTGACCTCGATCTTGAGTGTTTCCTTCGCCGCCGTGGACTTCGAGAGCGTGACCGACGTGAAGACGTCGACCGACGCCTGCCATGATGGTGTTTCCCATTGTCTGCTCGCGCCCGCTCCCTCGAACGCGATCGTCTAGACGGCCCATCGAATCTGTCTCCCCGTTCAGCGCTGAAGCTTCGTCCGCGATGTGCGTGTCGTCCTTCCGTCTTGCCGGACATTGTAGTGTTGGAGAGCAGGTAGTTTGTGTAGAATAAGTGACGATAGCTCGATCGAGCGCCAAAATAACACCCTATTCAGTGGAGTACAGACCACGTGGATACACCGGATGCAGCCGGGCCAGATCGAGTTGACGATCAACCATTGACAAATTGATTTTTCTTTCCGTCGGTCTTTGCCACAATGTGCATATGATTCAACGTTCGGACCTATGAGGAGTTGTACGATGAGTCGTTATGAAGCATAATGTCAGATCTGAGGCTTACTGAGGAGACACTCCCTTGCGGATAGATCTGGCGGATGATATGATTATTGGGATGTATTATTAATTTGAAGGAGAGATTGCGCTGCACTTGGTCAAGCACGACTCGGACTGTTCATAGGAGGGCTTAATTTTCCTTGCCTTTGTCACATTTATGTAGTGACCCGTCCAGATTCTGCCGCAACGAGCATCCAAAAGAAGCCCATTGCACTGGATGTAAGTTTTGTGGTTTTTGATCTGACTTCACACTGTCTGATCACTAAATAGTATGTGGGTCGTAAATCCTGAATCACGTAGGTGCTATAGCAAGCACGATGTGGTCTAGCAACCAATAAAATACAAAAGCCTCAGGCACGAGGCGGCACGAGCTAAGGTAGCTGGGCGCATATATAGTACAACCAAGAGCTAATCGTCATCTCGTAACGTCATGTTCCTCCATAAAGGTTATGCTGACACCTTTTCGACCTCCTCCTTCTCGTCTGTGAGAACTTCTAGTGGTTGCGCAATGTGTTCTTGCAGATCGTCTCCGTCGAAGAGCACGGCGATCTCCTCTAATGAGAGATTTTTCGTCTCCACAATCATGTAGTAGAGGAATACCAGCTCGAACGCAATCCAGCAGCAGTACACGATCTGGAAGCAGAGATATCAGGGGAAACGCAACACTACAGATAGAAGTCACGCACGTAATATTTCCACGCGATCGCCTGTAGCGCGATAGGGTTCACATATTGATTGAAGATGAGGGCAACAGAGAGGACAAAATTGAATACATTGAACCCCTTCGCGCGCAAAGAGAACGGAAGAATTTCTACGGTGTACGATACGATCAGGGGCTGGAAGGCGATGCTAAACAGCAAGGTCAGCAACTTCGCACAAATCAGACGAAGCTACTAAACTCACTCGAAGAACGCGTAGAAGAGGAAGATGAAAGCAATGACCGCGTGTGCCGCGCTCGCATTTTGAGTAATGGCAAAGCGAGCGGAGCAGATCGTTTGCAGCGTGAAGAAGACCAGCATGCCCACAGCAGACGTCAGGAAGATCAACCGACGGCCGAAGCGCTCCACCATGAACGAGGCAAGCACCGACCAGAACAAGTTCCAGATCGCCAGGATACTAAACATGGGAAATATCTGAGATGAGGGAGATCCCGGGAAGCAGGACAGGGGCTTACCCGGTAATCAATAGCTGGATCGTCTGGTTCGTGATGCCGATGGTATCAAACACCTTGTTCAGATAATATGACACCAGGCCGTTTCCTGACCACTGCGAAAACCACGCTATCGCGACGATAATGATCATACGCCTCCGGTTCCCCTTCGTAGTGACAAGTGATTTCCACCCAACGTTCTGCGCGGCTGACATTTATGAAAATTAGACTGGGACAGTGAAAAAAGAAAATCGAAACCTACCCTCTCGTTCAAGATAGATGGCAGCCTTGATCTCCTCAAACTCGTACTGCACAAGGGGATCTTGTTCGTCGCTATCCGCATGGTAGTACGCAAGGACCTTGAGAGCCTGTTCCTCCCGCCCTTTGGAGATAAGCCAACGCGGACTCTCCGGGGCCATGAGGACGAGGAAGAACTGCAAGATTGGCGGAATACCCTGCATTATGGAGGGAATGCGCCATGACCAATTGCCGCTGATGTACTCTGTACCGAACGTCGTCCACGATGCACTGCATTCGGACCCGTGAGTCACGATATTACAGAGGCTCAAAGTATGTCACGTACATGATATTACCAGAGTACCAGAGCGAGTTGTACAGGGAGGTCAGCTGCGCACGATATCTCGGATACGAAATCTCGGTCACGAGTAACGGTGCGGAATTTGCTGGGGGAAAAATCAACGCAGTTAGTCGGAAGTCGCAAGACTGTCGATAAGCTGGACTCACTTGCAAACGTCACACCGAACCCGATGCAGAACCGCGCACCGATGAACATACCTAAGTTTTGCGCTGCCGTCTGTAATGCCACACCAACCAACATGATGGAAGCACCAAACCAGATTGTGCGCCGACGGCCTATTCCATCGGTGAGATAGGGTGCGAAGGGGTACGCAGCTAGTGCACCAATGTTCTGAGGTTCCATCGACGAGTTCATCTCTAAGTACTATAGCTCGCTTAAGTGTAACTCACCTGAATGGCATTAAGGAGACCAAGTATTGATCCCTCTGGTTTGTGGAAATAGTCCTCCCATGCGGACAGGGACTGAAAACTGTTCATTAAACTCCCATCGAACCCGTTCACAGACGAAGTAATGAGCCTGGAAACAGAAATCGGTTTCGATTCGTTTTCATCCAGCCATTGTGAAGCACCCACAAGAGGACAATCCATGCATGCAGTGTAATGAGTCTGTTATATGTACCATTAGCACCTGCTAAGATTCGTGGCAACAGGCTAAAACATACCGCTTATTATTATACCATTGCCTCTTGGGATTCAGGAAACGTTCGTATCCCTGAACCCTCACGCCCGAGGCTTGCGTCGCTACGGCTCCAGCGCCCATCGTGAGGAAATTAAAATGAACAAGACCGTATACCACACGGGAAAGACCACGCCGGGAAAGCCAGCGGGCAACGTCGCTTATGTGCGGCTTTATACACGCACAAAAAACATACTGACCAGAGTAGCGTTCTAGCCGGCCTGTGACATGGGCCATGTGATGCCCGCACCCGGGAGGATTTCCCCAGAATTTCCCCGCATTGCTCCTGCTATTTCCCCGCGCCCCGCGTCGATTTGGCGTCCGTCGGCGCACTACATCAGGCACCATTACATATTGGGGCACCG